CTCCTCCCTGGCTTAATCGACAATTTCGCTCAAAATGGTGGGATAAAATGAAGATTTCTCAAGCCAGTGAACAAGCAGTAATTAAACATTATCAAGAAATATATATTCAAAAAGCAGAGGTTGAAGCCACTTTTATCAAAAGTCTTCCTCAAAGTGATGTGGATCTAATTGCAAGAATTAAAGATGCTGCTACCTCTTCTCCTGAAGAACTTCAAAGCTTACTTCAAGAAATTCGCCAAACTCCATCAGTTTCTGACGATTCTCCAAAATCTATAAAGAATGGTTTATTTCAAGACGCTCAAGACCCTTTTGATGATCCTTATGAAGAATAAGAAATTCTTATCATTAAATTTGGTGTAATACCTTCAATGTAGGGTATTTCGTTTCTTCTATTTATCAAAATTATTATTTTCAAATACAAGTGTGTATAAACTGTGTGAGTATACACTATATATGTATTTATAGTGTATAAACAAATATTATCAAATTTATTATCAAAATTATTTATTCTTATCATCAATGATAATATGAAGACAAAAAACTTTAGAAGATGCTCTATGATGGATAATATGAAGACAAAAAACTTTAGAAGATGCTCTATGATGACATGCTTTATCAAAAGGTGATATTTATTGATTACAAACGACAATTTCTTCAAAAGATGAGTGACAACCACTTACAAGTAATTGATTGGCCATTGAATCATACGACAAATTTCACTACAAGATTTCAAGGCTTTGAAGACTCCAAGATCAATATAAATAGACATCATATGTCAGTAGAAGGAAGCAAGCAAAAATATTCATTCTCTAAAAAATGTTCATCTCATGTCTAAAAAATCTCCAAGAGTCTCTCTTTCTACTAGTAGATGTTCAAAGTCTCTAGATTTTCAGATAATTCTTTCTCAAGATGTATGTATTGATTGTAATTCAAGCTTAATTCAAGAAGATACTATCTAAAATATTTTATTCAATTGTTGTATTGTTGTTATTAAATTTATTTCTCCATGATAGTTTCATTTCGAGTTATTCTAACTATTAATTCTACAATATTTGAAATTTTTGTTAAAATAGTACTCGTTTTTAATAATCAAATTCATGCTTGAATTATTTAATTATGTCTAACAAAATCTTGATGAATTGTATTCCTAATAGAGATATTCTTTTAAGAATACAACAAATCCAAGAATCTATAAATAATTCTGAGCAAAATCTCAAGGATTCTTACAAACCTACTAATCTAGGTATGATTTTAAACAATAATCATATTCATGATGCTAGATGGCTCATAAGAGCTAGTATTAAAATTCGATACAAACAAATACGTTATCTAAAAACAAAACTATTTGTTTTCTAAAAATGATATTTATGTCATAGTTAACAGAGAATGGTATTAGAGCCAAGAAAAATTTTTGGGGTGGTTATGCATGATATATTTATTTCAAATTTATTTAATTTGGCTTTAATATTCTGGAAATATATATATATATATATATATATATATATATATATATATATATATATATATATATATATATATATATATATATATATATATAGGCTTATGTTATTTTGTTTTTACTAACTATTGTGTGCCAGAATGCACAAATCTGGACCACCGGATGAATAGAATCAACAATCATGATCTGAGGGTCTATGATATTACAATAGGGTAGCATGTATCATATAATCACACAAATTTCAGCAAAAGGGCATTTTAGTCAATTAACCTATTTTAAAAAAGGAAATTTTCGGAATTTAAGGGATCCGTAATTCCCTTATTTTTAAAAAATCTGAATTTTTTAAATTAATTCAAATTTAAAAATCCGATTTTATTCTGTCAGAATGACTGAATGTCAACCATAAACTAGTAAATATATTTTCGATTTTATTCTTGCAGAATATATTTCCAATACAGGTATTTTTGATAATTAACCTGATTTAAGAATTCTAGATTATTATTCATATACATCCAAGTTGGGTCTATGATTTTATTCTTAATACACATCCGAAATAAAATACAAATTCATACATATTCTTACAGACTAATATCCTTATACATTTTAATATATTTATACATATTCTAATAGAATATCATAAAAAATGAATAAAATTCTTAAAAAATAGCATTCTTGAATTCAGTGGTCCATATAATCCACTTGATCTTCACATATATACTTGTTGTTGAACTCGATTCCAAATATTTCTCTTTGTATGATCAATATTGAATTCATTCTCCATGCAATTCTGAAAGAATAAGATACATTACTCGTTAGTTTTACGTTAGTATTACCAGTTAAACAAAAATACTTGTTGTTAACAAACATTCTCAGAAGACATTCTAACAGAATGCATATATATAAATAAATTCTAACAGAATACATTACTCGTTAGTATTACCAGTTAAACAAAAATACTTGTTGTTAAAAAACATTCTCAGAAGACATTCTAACAGAATGCATATATATAAATAAATTCTAACAGAATATATAACAGAATGCACTTAAATCATATTCTTTTTTTCTATATGCATAAACATTCTAAAGCATGTATAAATGTATTCTGTCAAAATTACTAGCAACACATGTTTTATGTAATATTTATATTCTCATAGAATGAACATGTGTTTGCATTCTAATATGAACCAATCCAAGTAACACATAATTGGAAATTAAAATTAAGAAAAAAGATAATTCATGAAAACTAATGGGATTCAAATTGAAATAGATCACCAAGTGAAAGAAACATACATCATCCCAAATTGAAGCTAGATCCTCTGGAGTTTGAAGCTTTTCTCTCTCAACATTAATGAGGGATTCCAATGGCTTGTGCTTCAATGGAGTGAAGCCATAGACAAAGCTTGAAAAGCTATGGGTGGGAATTGAAACCCATTTGTGAAAGTCCCCTGGAATGGAATGCTTTATTCCGGACTCTCTTCCCACAGAATTGGTGAAGAATGACTGTTTTCTGAAGAATGATGAATGATATTCAGCTGAAGATAGTGCACTTCTTGTGAGTTTGGTTGCTACACGTAGCATGGTGATTCTCTGTTATGCAATGTAAAAGAAAAAGTTATAGATCTTTCAGAGCTATACAGATAAGATATCAACAAACAAAGTGTAACTCTTTTCATAGTAATAACTATAGATCAAACACTATTTGACTATTTCCCAATTGAAAAGTTTCATGTTTGACATTGACAATCAAAATGCAGCTCTTACTGTTGCTACAGAGAGAGAAAAAGACATTTCAAAGTTGGATTTGAGTATACTTTAACCTAAAAGCAACACGTGTCTTACACAGGACTGATCAAACTTCTTACTGGCATTTCGTCGAGCAGTTGGAATGCATCATATGTATGAAGCATCGGTTATTAGGCAGAAAAGATAGAAAGAAGGATAATCATGAGGAAGATAGAAAGAAGGATAGTCAAGCTAACTGACCTAGAGCCTTTCTGTTTTTCTTCTTTATACTGACTTCTTCTACATCCTCAAGAACCAAATTCATGTACTCATCAAAACCCTACATCAAACAACCAAGCATACGAAATTATAATCAGCCAATTCAAACAGCCATATCTGGATACGCGCTTTCTGTTTCACACACAACATAAAACTCAGAAAATCAGCCAATTCGTCCAAACAAACCATTGAATGAAATTCAAAATGTGAGTAGATCTTACACTTTGAAGGAATTTGAATATCAGGTTCTGGAATTAAGAGGAAAAAGTTAAAGATTCTATTAGTCGTAACTTCAAATAAAAGTGAAAATGCGGGAAATCAATTAGGGTTGCCAGTTAATTAAGTTGGTTTTGGAGAAGGAAAGAATATGTACGATAAGTTGGGTCATTATCCTCTGAACTTTAGTCGCCATGGCTGCTTGTTGAATACGAGACAGAGATCTTCACCCGAGTGAAAATATGAATCTTCAATCAAACAATTAATCTTCAATTGATTATTTTATCAAATCTGGAAGTGGCAGTTGTGGAAGAGAGAAGAAGAAAAAAAATGGTATTACCGTCCTTTGAAGGTGTCCTCTCCGATGTTGTTTTTAATCGATCTACAGGGGTGGTGGGAAGCGGTGAAATCGATTTAGGGCTAATGTTTTATATTTATCTTTGCTTTTTGCGTGATATAATGAATTGTTGTTGATCTACCATAATTAACTATGCAAAGATTACTATAATACCCTTAAATGATTTACTTAATGATTTATTTTTTCCTAATTTCCTATTGGTGCATTCATGCACACAATAGTTGCTAGAAACATTTGAATCTAGCTCTCTCTCTCTCTCTCTCTCTCTCTATATATATATATATATATATATATATATATATATATATATATATATATATATATATATATATATCCCTTTGAAAAAAATTAGGTATTTACTTGGTAATTACATTGAGTTGATTTTTTAAAATCATAAACGTCTTGGGTTGTGAAGAATTTATATACAATTAAAAGAACAAATTAAAAGAACAATATAATGGAGAATATCAACTTGAACGTTGATCAACATAGATAAAAAAAATGCAAGCCTTTTCCAACTTTTTTTTATAGAAATCAATAAAATTAGAGAAATGAAACAAAGATTGAAGTCATAACAAATATAAAAGGGATAAATAAACAACTTTATGAATGATATAATTATCATTGGGTAGATTTGTCATAGTACAATGCTATGATGGGAACAAACAAAAGTAGAATGTTATAAAAGAAAGTAAAAAAAATAAAAAAAATTACATCGGTCAACCCGACCACCGGACGGACATAACACTAGTTAATAGTATATATAACAAATTTAGACCGTATAAATCTTCAATTCTTTATATATCTCTTAAACAGGCATTATATATGTGTTAATTTTGAAATTAAATAATGTTTACAAATCAACAATTTTACATTCCTAACTTTTATATATATATATATATATATATATATATATATATATATATATATATATATATATATATATATAATAAAACCATTAAAATTTCTCAGCAATACATACACAAATACATCTATTTAATCTACCAAATACAAATAAATAAATAAAGACAACAAAGTTACTTCTAAGTTATATTTTGTACGGGAAAATGACTTATCAAGGTAATTAACTTTTCGGTATGTTCACATCTGGGTAACTATCTTTTTTTTATACACATTTAGGTAACAAACTTGTTGGAAGTGTTCACATATGACCATTATGACCTGCTGTAGCAGGTTACATCCTAGATGTGAACACTTTTGACAAGTTCGTTACTTAGATGTGTACAAAAAAAATAGTTACCCAAATATGAACAAAACGAAAAGTAAGAGTAAATTACACGAATGGTACATGTGGTTTGGAGGAATTTGTGTTTTTTGTTCCCTAACTTATTTTTTTAACTCAGATGGTCCCTACTATTTATTTTTATTGCGCGTTTGGTCCCTGTCTTACCTAAAAAGACTAATGTGCCCTTATTAATTTATTTTTTAATTAGTTTTCTTATTTATGTATTTATTTTTTATATATTTAAAAAAATTAATAGACCCCACATATCTGTATCTCCTCGGATGATCCCTACTGTTTATTTTTTAATTAATTTATTTTTTAGCTCGGATGATCCCTACTGTTTATTTTTATTATGTGTTTGGTCTCCGTCTTACCTAAAAAGACTATTGTGCCCTTATTAATTAATTTTTTTAATTAATTTTCTTATTTATGTATTTATTCTTTATATATTTAAAAAAATTAATTGACCCTACGAGTTAAAAAAATAAGTTAGGTAAGACAGTGACCAAACGTACAACAAAAATAAACATTAAGGACCATCCAAGTTAAAAAAATAAGTTAGGGAACAAAAACATAAATTCTCCCAAACCACAAGGACCATTCGTGTAATTTACTCTTACTTTTCGTTTTGTTCATATTTGGGTAATTACTTTTTTGTACACATCTAGGTAACAAATTTGTTGAAAGTGTTCACATCTAGGATTTAACCTGCTACAACAGATTATAATGGTTATATGTGAACACTCCAACAAGTTTGTTACCTAGATGTGTACAAAAAAAAAAGATAGTTACCCAGATGTAAACATACTGAAAAGTTAATTAACTTGATAAGTCATTTTCCCTATTTTGTACAACTGAACACTCAAAGAATCGTGTTCCCTTTCCCTTTCTAAATTGAACTATAATATGTTTATTATATGGGAAATTGCAAATAAAGTTAACCCCAAAAAAATTGAACTAACGTGCACTCCTTATTCACTGTTAGAGCACCAGCTGTTCCCTCTCTTCTTCCTTGGCATGGTGTTGCTTCACTCTTTCCTTTTTCCTTCTTTGCGCTCCATCCACAGATCACTCAAGCAAGAGAAAGAATAACACTCAAAATATATTACAGTATACTCCATATCTATCAAAGATTCAAAATATGCAATAAGATCATCGAGAGATTGATTTTTATCTATTTAACTAATAAACTCAATCAAATGAAACATTCCCAGCAAGAACACTCTTGTTCTTGATTCTCGGGTACCTGCAAGCAAGAAGAAGAACAACAAGTTTGTGTTTCCTTTCCTTCCCTGTAAAATGATCCAACCAAACACCCACCTAAATCTACTGATCAAACATCCATCGATTCCCTATCAAACAACAAAAAAATCCCCAAAATCAACCATTTTACCTGTTATGGATCAGAACTGCCATTGTTGTCCCTTCGTGTTCTGCTGCCAAAGATGAGGAAGAAACCTAAGAAGTTCGATGCAAATAAACCGCCCCCTCCCTTGTATGACTGATCAACAATCGTTGAACCACCACTCATCACCTTCATGTTTCTTTTTCTCGAACCAGTCAAGCACCTCGTGTTTCTATCTTCGTTTTTCTATTCTTGGTCAAACGAGGATCCAACCCTCCAACTCTTCTGTTTTCGTTCGTCTTCTTTCCCCGACAGCTTGAGGCATCGATGGTGCTTCCTAATTTTACCCACGATCTAGTAAAAATCTCGGAGTCTACCATCCTTGTTGTTCCGATTTCATTCGAACATCCTCATCTTCGATCATACAAGAACCACATAAATAGTTTCCCCTTTCCTCCCTCCGTTTATTTCATCGAAATCATACAAGAAAACGACTCGTTTACCTCGATTTCTACCGATGACGGTCAAGGAAGGCTCACCGGGAATCGATAATTTCCTCCTCCTCCTTGAATTGGTGAAGCACTGGAGGTGCTTCCCGATTTCTGATTCCAATTGTGCTTCTCCTCCTTAATCCGACGAAGATGAGCACCGGGGGATCTTCCCCTTGGTCTTCTTTGCTGCCGACGACGGGAGAGGAACGAAGAACCGTTGACTGCCTTCCTTCGCATCTTCCTTCATACGTATTCGACTGATTTCATTCGTATCCTCCACTTCTCGATCTGTTGGAAGACGGGAACTGAAGAACCCCAAAACCCGATTGTTTGAATCATTTAAACAAACCAACCCTTTCATTTGATAAATATGACTAAACAGCCCGAGATTTGTGAAGTTTCGGCCATTAATCAAAATGGTCCCTCCATGAAATTCCTTTGCATAAAAGCCCTAATTTAATTTAGCTTATGAAAGGACCAAAATACCCTCCCTAATAAATCCTTTATTCAAAATAAGTCCCAAACCCCTAAACATTGAACCCGGTTATTTAAAACGACACCTCGTTCGATATTTTTTTTACCAAAGCACTCCTATTCATTAAACTAAATTACCAAAAAGCCCATATACTTTAGCGAAGTTACAAATCAGACCCCGATAGTTTAAAATCGTTACGAAACAGTCCCGGAAATATTTCAAGTTCAAGAATTGTGGATTTGCGGTTTACACGACAAGTTTCTCAAAAGGATCCGAATTCGAACAACTCGAACTCACGCTTCTAGGGTGAGTGCTTATGGCCCCTTTTTAATAATTTAATTATTTCGGGGGGGGGGGGGGGGGGGGGGGGGGGGATACATGTGCCTAAATATTTTGTTTATACAAACCAATTTCCTTTTTATGCGAAAATACAATAAATCTAGTTTATAAAAATATTATTATTTAATAATTTACCATATTGTTACGAATAAAGTAGTATAAACTTTTCGTATACATATTATGGTTATTTTATCGTAAAATAACTAGTTCACACAACAAATACTACGTGATACAAAATTATATGATTTTTATGTGATATTGCATATTATAACAAACACGTTATAACACTTTATAGTATTTCAAGGATTCAAGCTATTACTATTCATGTATATTTATATGTTTAAATGCATAAAGTTTATACATGTACATATGTTCATTATTTTGAGACATACATCTTTATAAAAGCAAGACATTACACTTTTACATACATGTCAAACATACTCGGCTTTTATAAACTTTATACAACGATATTGATTATGCCTAGTGACTTAAAGTTAGGACTGAGAGTTATTCACAAATGTTTTAGTTAAGGGCTTTTTAGTGAGACGCTACGTTATTCATTAGCTAAGTCTAACCAGTTAGCATACCCAAACTACTATAACCGTTAATCTTCGGAGCGAGTTACATATGTATAGATCTATACAGGGTTGACATCCCCACCTGCGGTTGCTAGCTACAACCTCGACTGATCAATCGAAGCAGGTGATAGGTGTCTACAATTTTTACTGCAACGTCTAATGATGTGTTGTAGTCGGGTACACTCAAGTCACACAGCTCGGTTATAGGACTCACTATAAACATTAACTAGAATATCTCTCGCTCTCACTACAAATCATGGGATCGTTTGCTTTCAAAACTATTTTAAGTACGAAATTACTTATATAACAGTACAGTTTGGTATTCAAGGATATTCAAAGATTTATTACAAACACAGTTTTTAAGTATGGATTCACTTGTACACAGATACATTTTGACTTTTAAAGACTCATTGCAAACACTGTTTTAACTATTTTTATACATACATAGAAAATACTTTTTAGACTTATTAAAAGTATTATTGTTGTTAGCAGAAAACCTGTAACACTCACCATGTAACATCCCAAAAATTCGAGCCAATTTAAAACTTTTTAAAATATTTCAAAACACATGATTATTACAAACTTGTTTTCAAAGTGCATGGTATATTGTCAGAGTATCCAAGAATCAAAACATAAAATCATAAAAATGTGAGGAGCGGTATGATCACGCATTTGCCTTCCCGCAATCATCAGAAGTACCTGAAACAATAATCGATAAATGTAAGCTCGAAGGCTTAGTGAGTTACCCCCAAAATACCAACGCCTTACAGATATAACCATATCATATAATCATATAAGCAACAACATGCATAATGAGCCATCAGTCTGACTGGACCGAATCCCGGTCCTCAGTCTATCTGGACCGCTCTCCGAGCCCTCGGCACGTCTGGACCGCCCTCCTCGGGGCCTTCAGCCTATCCGGACCGCTCGTTGGGCCTTCGGCCTGACTAGATTTGCCCGGCTCGGGCCTGCAGTCTACCCGGTCCGCCCAGGGTGTCTTGGCCTACTACACACAGCAGGACCTGCCTCAACCCTTTCCCTAAACCAACAAACATGTGCACATACATATAAACAAATAAACATGCAGATCTAACAGATCACTAACATGGCAACCATCATATAACCAGGATACCGATCTAATCGATCTCTAACATTGCAACCATCCTACAACCAAGATATCCATCTAACAGATTACTAGCATAACAACCATCCTAAATCCATGATGAAATCTAACATAGAAACCATCCTAAATCCAGGATGAAATCTAACATAGCAACTATCCTAAACCAAGATGTAAATCATAAAGGGCCGGCCTTGGTGCCGTAGACCCTGTTGATATAGTGAGGAGAACTCACCTCCCAAGTGTCGCACTGAAGTGATAGGCTCAACTCTCGAATCACCAACACGAACTCCACCACCTATAGTTACCATAAAACCCTTTTTCATAAATTTCCAAATTACCAAACTGCCCCCAGAGGTCAACTAGTCAACCCTTGGTCAAAGTCAAAGTCAACAGTCCATGTTGACCCGACTCGTCGAGTGTAGTTCACCGACTCGTCGAGTCCTACCTGAACTCGAGAATTCGTGAAATCCTTGGTTGGCTCGTCGAGTTCCCCTATAACTCGCCGAGCTCATGCGTGTCCAAAGGTTCGGGAAAAACCCTAGCCGACTCGCCGAGTCATTCGACTGACTCGTCGAGCCCAAGGCAATCTTCATCGGACTCGCCGAGTTGTTCATCCAACTCGTCGAGTAGATGACTATATTCATATGACTCGTCGAGTCGACCTTGCGACTCGCCGAGTCCCTTCAATCCTTCAACCTTACAGATGCTTTTTAAGTCATGCAAAGGCTCCATATTGCAGATCTAAGCTCTTAAGGCATGATTATCACGTAAAGTTGCAAACTTTACGTGCATGCAAAGCTTTAAAGCTCTAAAATGACAAAACCAAGTTTACAATGAGGTCTAACACTTGAGGGGAGGTCCATACTTGTCAAAGCTGGCAACTTTACGGCCTTAAAGACCAAGGAAAGTTCAGATCTGAAGTTTGCAACTTCAGATCTTAACTCCAACACCCGAATGGTTTCCTAATAAACATCCAAAAGGGATCTAAGAAGAAATGAGCCATAGAACAGCTGGATACCTTCAAAAGAGTGCTCACAGAAATAGTTCTCTGATTCCTCACGAATTCCTTGCTTCAGCTTACTTGTTTTTCCTCAAGTGTTTTCCCACCAAAATTCTTCTTTAAACTTATCACACCAAGAAAGCACACACACACAAAGTTAGGGTTTGAGATGACAAGGGACGGTAGAGGGGAGGCTGAGGAGGCCAAATGATCACTTAAATAGGGTGAAAAACCCCGAAAATTAGGGTTTCATCCTCCAGCTCCTACTCGTCGAGCCCCTCCTCGGACTCGGCGAGTAGGTCACTTAAACATGTGGACCAACCCGCTGCTACTCGACGAGTCAAGGCAACCGACTCGTCGAGTAGACCTTGAATTGAAAGAGATCTTATAACGAAATTAATACCTGAGAATCGGGGCGTTACAATTCTCCCCCACTTGAACTAGACTTCGTCCTCGAAGTCTGCCGCGGTGAACATCTCCGGATAGTGCTCCCGCATGTCTGCCTCCGGCTCCCACGTCCACTCGGACCCTCTTCGGTGCTCCCACTGTACCTTAACCAAAGGTATCTCCTTGTTCCGCAGAATCTTTATCTTCCTTTCCAGTATGGCCACAGGCCTCTCCAAGTAATTCAGGCGCTCATCGACCTGAATATCATCCAATGACGCCACTTCCTCTTGATCCATAATGCACTTTCGTAACTGTGAGACATGGAAGGTGTCGTGAATCTGACTAAGCTCCTCCGGTAGCTCTAGCCTATATGCCACCTTGCCAACCCTGGCGATGATCCTGAACGACCCAATGTAACGGGGGCCCAATTTCCCCCTCTTCCTGAAGCATATCACACCCTTCCAGGGTGAGACTTTCAGGAGTACCATGTCACCCACCTGGAACTCTAATTCAGACCGATGCCTGTCGGCGTAACTCTTCTACCGACTCTGAGCGGTCTGCAGTCGCTGCCTAATCTGCTGAATCTTCTCAGTAGTCAGCAAGACTATTTCCGTCCGCCCCATCACCCTGTGTCCTACTTCACCCCAACAAATCGGGGTGCGGCATCTCCGTCCATACAACAGATCGAAAGGCGGGGCACCAATGTTGGAATGATAGCTGTTGTTATAAGCGAACTCTGCAAGCGGTAGGTGGGAATCCCAGCTCCCTCCGAAATCAATGACACGCGCCCTCAACATATCCTCGAGGGTCTGAATGGTCCGCTCGCTCTGACCGTCAGTCTGCGGATGAAATGTTGTGCTAAAGTGCAACCGCGTGCCCAGTTCCTCGTGGAACTTCTGCCAGAAACGGGAGGTAAACCTAACATCTCGGTCGGAGACAATGGAGACGGGAACCCCATGGCGAGACACGATCTCGCGAACGTACATGTCGGCCAACTTCTCGGCCGATGAACTCTCCCGAATAGCCAAGAAATGGGCACTCTTTGTCAATCGATCCACGATGACCCATATAGCATCAAATCCCTTCGCCGTCCTCGGCAACTTGGTAATAAAATCCATCATGATCTGTTCCCATTTCCACATGGGGATCTCCAGGGGCTGCAGCTTGCCATGCGGCCTCTGATGCTCGACCTTGACCATCCTATAGGTCAAGCACCTCTCGACGTACCAAGCGATTTCTCGCTTCATGCACGGCCACCAGTAGCTCAAACTCAAATCCCGGTACATCTTGGTGGCCCCCGGGTGAATGGAGAAGTGGGACTTATAAGCCTCCTCC